TGTGTCGGGCCCGGGAAAGGTTTTTGCTCTTCCTCACGGCCTCTTTGCAGCTTCATCTTCCTTCTGAACTTCCCCCGTGGGCACAGCACGTTCCCTCTGCCTCTGGAGAGCCGTGGCCATTTCTAAGGAAGGCCGGTGCTGAGTGATGCGTGAAACATGCTCCTCAGCTCTGCTTTAAACAAGCTGTTAGCAACTTTTATCACCCTCTTCTCCCTCCTCACAAACTGTGTGTTTTGCAGAGACAATATAAGCGTTTTTCTAAAATTAACTTTTTAATTTCTCTTTTCTTTCTCCCCCCCTTGTCCTTTTCCTTTACCCAATCGTGTGCCATGGCTTCCCAGAGACCGAAAGGACAGGATAATAAAGGTGAGGAACATGTTTCATCACAAAACGTTTATGATTTGGTCATCAGAACTCGGAACAGATTTGAGGCACATTATCACATAAATTTCTGTGTTATAATCAGTATATAGAGTATATTATAAACTGAGATCTGGTCATTTAAATCGTTACTGTAAGAGATTAATTATGCAGGTACCTATAGGTGAGCAGAAAGGTATTGCTCTTAGCCTGTATGGATAACATCTGGAACAAAAGAAGTTGTGCTTTGTTTCAAAAATAACATTAACTGTTATTCATGGCTTGCTCACATCCCTTGCTGCTGAGTTTGCAGTGGGAAGAACTATCTGTTAGTACTAAACATAATGCTCTTCATTTCCTTGCAATAAAGAAAACATAAAATGAAGGAAATGCTCTTCATTTCCTTAAAATAAAGCAGATTTCTACATAAAGTCACAAGGATATGCCTATTCAATGTATATTTTTGCATACTTTTGCATAGTCTCTTCCTGCTGTATGAATACAATTGTGTTACTGGTCTGCTGTTGACTGATAAATGTTGTAGCTGTTGTGTATAAGCCTACAAACTTAATCATTTAAGGCATTTTAGATAAAAGTAATTAACTAATTATGAGATAATAAGCCTTTTATAGTAACTCCTGTACCATTTGAAGTTAAATTTAATAGCAAGTCATCTAAGAAAATACCTGTGATTGCTAATAAGCATGTAACTGTTTAGGCTTAGAAACTAACAATATGCAACTTATCAATGCTGTTTAAAATAACTTAACCTGCCTTAAAAATCCAACTACTTCTAGTTACAGAAAGTTTGACACTGTTTCCTGTGTTTGTAAATACTCTTTGACCTCTACTCTCCCTGACAAGCTTTGCAGAAAAGTAATTTTCTGGTCAATTTCCAGTGTTGTTTACTAAACATCCGATTTGGTGTAGTGTTACTTTTAGTTTAGTTCAGCTCTTCCCTGAAACAGGTAAATAAAGCAGCTGTCACATAATATGTTTGACCTTGTTTTCTTACATTTAAAACAAACAAATGAAACTATTTCAAGTGACCTAGTAACAGTTTGGGGTTTGTTTATCTTTCCAGAATGGGTATGGAATGTTTTTCACACATTAATTTATGCTTAAGTTGACCTTTGATTATGGCAGATATCTCTCTTTTACACATGAAAAAGTCGAGACTTAAATTTTCCTGGAAGTGTGAGGATGTCAAGGCACTTAGTCATTATTTCATAACTAAAGGTAACCTCATCTCATCTTATTTTAGCCAACCTCAGCAAGCAGAGAATAACACATGCTGGGAGAACTGAATTAGTTTGTGAAAGTTCTAATTATGGACCAGAACAATAGATGTTTCCCAATATTTTTCACAAAATTCTTGTCAATAATTACTTTTTTTGCTCAGAGTTAATTCACATGAGTTGTCTGTTCACTGTTGACTATACATATATTTTTTTTAAAAATTAAATTCACTCAAATTTATAAGTAATAATATAAAGGCAAACCATTTTTGGGGAAAAAAAATGTCATCCCTTGGTCTTTTTATGAGTCTTCATGCTGTGAAGAAATACAGCTTTTCTTAAAATAACACAGAGAGTGGAACTCAAATGCTGCTGAGCATTATAATGTGTTGTAACCTTTCTCTTCTAGTACAAAATGGTTCGTTACATCAGAAGGATACTGTTCATGACAACGATTTTGAACCTTACCTTTCTGGGCAGTCAAATCAGGTTAGTGTATTTTTAACTTAGGGTTTGGGTTGTTGGGTTTTGGGGGGTTTTTTTTGGCACTTAACACATAGGATTGTGTTGAGGGAGCAAATTCCTTAAATAGAAATGGAAAAAGAAATGACTAGTGTATTGTGTTACTTGGTAATACAACTGGCATTTGTGCTCTCAGAGCTGATATTACTTTGCATATCCAGATGGCCACAAGTGAAAATGAAGTTGATGCTTCAACTAGTGTCTGCTGATTGCTCCTCAGATTGCAAGTTATTGATACAGTTGGACTGTGACAAACTACTTGATCTTACAGTTCTTTAATAGATGAGTTGCATGTAGGAGTCTGAAGCTTCTGCTTGTGGGCTCTTCTAGTTTGTATAATCCTAGAAATGAGTGTAGTTGAAATTGGGTTTCCATGCTCTCTGGATTGCTTCTAGAGTTGTCCCTCTTGCTTTTTTACACTTCAGCAAATATTGTGATTCTTTCATGTCCTCTGAAATGTCTTAAAAATTAAAAATGGTATTTTAAGAGTAAGGCACTGTAATGTGAACTCTCAGTATAATCCAGTTCATTATAATGTATATTAAATCAACATCCATGATTTAAATATCGTTGAAAATATCTTCTAATTGAAGTAACTTTTGACTTAATTCAAATCTTTAAAGTGAACAAAACGTATAGAAACTGGACATGCCAAAAGTTTTCTTTCACAAATATAAAATACCATTTCAGAGAGAGACTTGCCAGAGCTACATTCTTATTTCTTGGCAGAAAGGCCAAGTGTTATGTTTTAAAAGGGAAAGTTATAATTCAGCCTGAAGCTGTTAGATGCCAGTGTTAATATCAGTGATGTCACTGAACTTGCTTGCAAAATGTACATGTCCTGTGTAAGGTTTATCTCCAAGATGTAGATATCCCACAGATACATGGGACTGGGTTACAAGTTTGGTTTGGATCATAGCAGCTTTTGGGAAGATGCAAATTTATCATGATATAGATACACTTCAGCTCGCTTCCATCCTGGAAGCAATCGAGACACCACCATGGAAGTCAGGACAAGTGTACATATGACAACGTGAATTATCTTCTGAGCTCTGTGCTGGGTGGGTTCTGGCTCCTGAGCTGAGCTTTGAGTCCTCTGCAGCGTGTAGATGTGTTCTTATACAAAGTTAAAATGATTTTCCTTCATCTCTGGAATTAACATGCTGTGGCACGTATCAAAGCAGAAAATTTGTGGCAAAAAGGAAGTAATTTTTTTTTTTAATGCAGAATTAGTTTTGAAAGAAATTGAGGTTTTCACCTTTCTCATTTTTTTTTTTTTAAATTCCCCTTCATCACATTTGAATGTAATTTTTAAGTACTTAAAACCAATATATGTTTTTCTAATGTGAAATATACTCAACTTTAAACTTCACCTTGAAAAACTGTAGAACTGTCTTTTATAGTTTAATTTCAGAAGATTTGTCTTAGCTGTCAGCAAGCCCAGTTATTAGGTTTAAATGGAAAAATTGCTATGACTATTAGAATTTCCATCATTCCAATAAAGTTTTCTTACATGAAAGTGTAACTTCATTGATTTCTTTATGCTGCACTAAGAAATTGGCATGCTGCAAGAAACAGTTGTGTAGGTCCTCTTACAGTTTTAAGTGGAAAGTGACAGTAGCATTAATTAGGATTGGGAGACTTTGTAGTGAAGACAACCATGTTTCTGAACAAAGCCTTATCTATTTATTCAGTCAGATGTATTCAGTACTTTAAAATTACTGTAAAAGTACTGTAATACTCCATAAGTAATGAAAAAATTACTTTAAAAGTACTGTAAAATTTAAGTGATTTTAAAAAAGGTTTGAAGCTGGCTGGATATTTTAGACAAATACTTAAGAAATTAAAAAAAATAATTCAGAAGTTAAAATCCCAGCTGACACAGCAATGTATTTGACATCGAAGATCAAATGTAGGTTGGTAATACAGTGTTAATTTCATCTTTTAAAAATACTTAGTGTTTAAAAGGGGTATTGAGCACGTTATATATATATAATCAAATAAAATACAATTGTCTTCCATCTTTCTGTTGAAAACTGCACCTGAGTAGTGGTGCCTTTTCTTTCTGTAAAGGTTCTAGTTTCCAAGGAGCAGTAGTTAACAGAGATGAAGTTTGAGGTGGTGCAGCTTTTTGTTCTAAAGCACACTGAAAGTACAGTGAAGTGCAAGGGGAACTGGGTGATGTAGAGTGTTCATATATAAAGTTATACTGAAAGCTAGAAAGGCATCTCCTGTGTAAGGTTATCCAGAAGCAAAAGATTATTCCTGAGTAACAAAATTCCCAGCAGGCAGTGTACTCTGGGAGAAAAGGAGGATTCCCTTCCTAATTAACAGAATGATTGGCTTTTGTTGTTGTGTTTTGGGGTTTTTTTTTAATTAAAAAAAAAAAAAAATCTGGAAGGGTGCAGAAAGGTCAAGGAGAAGTTTGTTGAAATAAATGTTCTGCTGTTGCTGTGAAGTATTTCTGTCAGGGTTTCTTTTACACGCTGGCATAAAGCCAGTCAAAATAGATTGAATGTTTTCTAAGGATGTCTGCTGAAGCTTTCTCTTTAATCTTGTTAGAATCCTTGTGGAAACTTCACAAGCTGTGTGACAGGAGGTGACAGTCTCAGGAATTGTCTAGAATCCTTCAGCAGAAAAATTTTAGGACAAAACACCTGCTTTCTCTAGGCTTATTCTTTTTGGTCTTAATAAATTCTGCATCTGTAGAATATATGAAGATAAATATCTCTGAAGAACTATTTCTGTTCCCCCCTTTCATCTGCAATTGTTTCTACATTTTATATTAACACTTTAAGATATAACACACAGCAATCTCAGAGTAAAACCTTTCAGAAAAAGGATGCTTTCATATGCTAAATATTGATTATTTTAGCTTGAGAGTTTCAGAAAATTTAATGCATTTTGGGGGATCTTCTCATAGGAAGGTAGCTTGTGTCCTTCTTGTTAATGATAGAATTTGCACATAAATAAAGGCAGCATGAACAGTGGCAGAGATTATTTCTTTGGGATCAATAACACTGGATTTAGGCCGTTTAAATCTCAGAAGTGGTTGCAGAAGTGGTATGTGAGTCTTGGAGGCATTTTATGGTATCATTCTGTATATGGAAAGTGAGGTTATTGAATTACTCTGCCTTTGGGGTGTCATGGAAAGGAGTCCTTGAAAAATGAGTAGTAAAAATGACTCTATCAGCTGGGTATTATGCTTCTCTTCAGCAAGGAGGTGTTTTGTGGGTTTTTTTGTTTCATTTTTTAAATGAGCTGAGAAACAATCTGATTTTTGGAAAACTGAGTGAAGTTCCAGTGCAGTTTTGCTGATTTTGCAGGTACATTCTTTTCAAGTTTGAAATCTTGTAGTTTGAAAGAAATCTTCTTAAAATAATCTTTCTTAGTTCCTCTTAAAATAATCTTTCTCCATAAGGAATGAAAGGCTAGCTACTGTTTGACTCATTAACAGGAGATGTTGACTTTCCCTCCCTCTCACTGGTAATTACAGTTGGAGTGTCAGTTTGGAAGCTCTCCAGTATATATGCTTCAAGTTTATTTAAAGGGGAATAAAGTCTATTTTAGAACATCCTGTATTTATTCTTTTGTATTGTTAAATATGGGAAACATAGGGAATGCTTCGCAATCAGGTGTCAGCAGAAGATTGAGAGCGGGAGGAAAGGCTTCTCCGCTTGGTCTAAGCAGCAGTTGAAGGAGAGGGAAAGGTTCAGGAGTTTCAGAAGGGGTCTGCTGGTTTATCACTGGGCAGTCTTATATTTTATAGAGTGGAAAAGTTGACCTGTTTGGAAAGACATTCAGAAGGAGTCTGGCACATTTGTAACTTAACTACTGAGGGAGGAAGAGACTTTCTGCACAAGTCTTTCTCAAACAGTTGAGATGGGATATATCACGTACTGTAGTTGCATGGATTTGTTTCTAGGATACCAGTCACCTTAATTTCAGGTTCTAGTCGTTAGATCTACTTACAGCAAACTTGGTGTGCTTCTTAGTGTGTCATCTCACTGTGGCCCTGCCTATGTCAGAAGTAGCCTTCTCGTGTTGAGGACTGTTTGCCCCTCAAAACAATTCCATGAGGATTGTAATCGTCATATTTTCTGTGATGTACTGTCATATTAAAGTGATTTCATCTACAGCTTCTCCCATGTAGCAATCCAAAAATACTAAATATCCTTATTGCTGTGGGACACAGAACATACTGTTACATGTCTAGATACTGGATTTTAGCTCTGAATCTTTCTTGGAGTGTGAACTAAGATTTATAATTATAAATTTAATTACCTTGTCTCTGTTGTTCTTTTCTATTTGATGAACATGATGATTTGATTTATAAGTGAAGGGACCTTTTATATCTGAAGTTACCTTTTTCTTTTTGTTAACAGAACAGTAGCTATCCATCAATGACTGATCCTTATCTGTCCAGTTATTATCCACCGTCTATTGGTTTCCCTTACTCTCTCAGTGAAGCACCATGGTCTACAGGAGGAGATCCTCCTATCCCGTATCTCACCGCCTATGGACAGCTCAGTAATGGAGATCATCATTTTATGCACGATGCTGTTTTTGGACAGCCTGGGGGTCTGGGAAATAATATCTATCAACACCGGTTTAACTTTTTCCCTGAAAATCCTGCCTTCTCAGCTTGGGGAACAAGCGGATCCCAAGGACAGCAGACTCAAAGTTCAGCGTATGGGAGCAGTTACAGCTACCCACCTAGTTCACTGGGTGGTACCATTGTGGATGGACAAACAGGATTTCATAATGATACGTTAAATAAAGCTCCTGGAATGAACAGTATTGAACAGGGAATGGTTGGACTTAAGATTGGTGGAGATGTTACAACTTCTGCGGTGAAAACAGTCGGTTCTGTTGTCAACAGTGCTGGGATGACAGGTGCCCTCTCTGGTAATGGTGGATCTAATGTAAACTTGCCAGTATCTAAACCAACCTCTTGGGCTGCTATTGCTAGCAAGCCTGCGAAACCACAGCCTAAAATGAAAACAAAAACTGGACCTGTAATCGGAGGAGCGTTGCCTCCTCCACCTATAAAGCATAATATGGACATAGGTACTTGGGACAATAAGGGTCCTGTGGCAAAAGTTCCTGCCCCTCAACAGATACCTTCTCCTCAATCTGTTCCACAGCCACAGCAACCAATTGTTCAGCCTGTTCCAACTCAACCTCCTCCATTGACTCAGCCACAGTATCAGACTCCTCAGCAGCCACCCCAAAATCGCTGGGTAGCTCCTCGTAACAGAAATGCAGCTTTTGGCCAAAGTGGAGGAACTGGTAACGACAGCAGCTCAGTTGGCAATACCCAACCTAACCCTGTTCCAAGTGGAGAATCCCATCCTGTTCTTGAAAAACTGAAAGCTGCTCACAGCTATAACCCTAAAGATTTTGAATGGAACCTTAAAAATGGACGTGTGTTCATAATAAAGAGCTATTCTGAGGATGATATTCATCGTTCCATTAAGTATTCTATTTGGTGTAGTACAGAACACGGCAACAAACGCCTGGACAGTGCTTTTCGGTCCATGAACAGCAAGGGTCCGGTCTACTTGCTGTTCAGTGTCAATGGCAGTGGACACTTCTGTGGAGTAGCAGAGATGAAATCACCTGTGGACTATGGCACCAGCGCAGGTGTCTGGTCTCAGGACAAGTGGAAGGGGAAATTTGATGTCAAGTGGATCTTTGTGAAGGATGTGCCCAACAACCAACTCCGACACATCAGGCTGGAGAACAATGACAACAAACCCGTTACAAACTCCCGGGATACACAGGAGGTGCCCTTAGAAAAAGCAAAACAAGTGCTTAAAATTATTGCTACTTACAAGCACACGACCTCCATCTTTGATGACTTTTCTCATTATGAAAAGCGCCAAGAAGAGGAGGAGGTGGTGCGGAAGGTAAACTTATTAAAAAATTTATTTTATACACAGATATGGGGAAAATGAAATGTGAAGGCTGCTGTGGTGGAAAAAATGTAAGTAGGAATTCGAAATGTTTTTAATACGTCTCGACTTGATGGTTTTCTGTGTGTTTAACAACACAGAAAAAAACAAACTGATGCTTATTTCTCTGTGACAGTTTCATAGCTCATGAGTTTCAAAGCAGAAAGCTAAGCAGTAACGCAGGTAAAGGACATTATGTCCAGTTTTTTGCAGTTTGATTTATTTTTTTTAATCTTAAAATGGTTAATAAACTAGAAAACAGTTTTTGTTTCAGACTTGGGTTCTGCCAATGATTGCCACTTAAGTTTTTTGCCTTAGAAATATGAGGTACTTTAACACTGTTTAGAACGGGGCTATCAAAATTGATCCCTGTATTGGCATTTGAAAATTGTACATCATCTTTAAGAGCAAGAAATCCGATCTTGTTTGTTCAGTTGATCTCTCTGGAAAAGAAAGAGTTGCATCAAATTGCTGGAATAGTGCTAGAAAGACTGCGTTTCTTATGTATTATTATTTGGGTGAATAAAGGTTTTCAGTTCCCAGGTACAGTCTGTCTACTAATTCTTGAAAAGTAGTTTTGAGTGAAGATGTAGTAAGATAAATATGGGCAGTAAGTGGGAACGTGTAGTAAAAGCTTACATCCACTTTCATGGCTCTGTCTGCTGCCAGAGACATCTGTCCTTGTCCATCCCATGACCTCAGTGTCACGAACGCCTTTCCCTCATCAGGCAGTAACAGACTGACAGAATAATAGGTGTTGGGATGTGTAGTTACTACCTAAGTAATACCTAAAGTTGCTTCATTTTGACAGTGTTTCATAGACTTTTTTTTTTGTATAGCATTTCAAATCAAGCTTTTTTTTTTTTTGACAGACTACTTCAGCAAAGCTCACACTTGCTTCAAAATGTTTTTAAAGCAAAGACTTAATACATCTTCCTGGAGCTTAAATTGAAGTTGCCATTTTACAGGGTTTATTGGCATTTAAAAGTGCAGAAAAAAATTACTTCAGACTCTTAATAGAATGTACCCTGAAATTACGAGAGGAGGGGAGATCAGTGTCTTTAGCTTAACTTCTCCGGGCCATAAGATACGATGTGCACAACATACCTCAACACAGCAGGGCAGGAGAGCTGAAGATTTGACCTTTTTCTTGTCTACTCCCTGTGGGGTTCCACAAGCTAAAACCTAAAAGCCTTTATTTCAACACTTCATTCCTTTAGTAAATAATTAGCAATTCAACGCTTAATGTAACCTGTGTTTTGAAGAGAGGTGTTCCCTTATGTAGGAGAGAATCTTGAATAAGTCAGAAGTCCTGGGTTCCTTTGTCTGCTGTTCCCAGTGTATGGGGGGGTGCTTGTTTTGGGGTTTTTTTAATGCTAAGTTTCCTTGTGATTTGCTGCCAAGTCTGGAGGGGAGAATAATGTGCATGTTTAAGGAGTGAGAGCACTGGGAGAGCGATAGGAGATCTGATATTGACCAGTTAACTCACTGGGCTGAGGAAGATCGAGATGGCTGCGTACTGAACACCAAACTTCACACTACTTGTAGCTCAAGGGGTTGATATTCAATTATTGGGCTGATCCCACTTTGGGTTGTTTTAATGTACACAGCTGTTTCCCACTTGCAGTTCAAATGCTGATTCAATATTCTTACCCAATATTCTTAATCTTGCTTTATAACAGGATTAGTTTTTCAAAATAAAGTGTCTTTTCTGCCTCATTTAAAACTGAGGCTCTGGCTTGTCTGAAATCTAGTTTAAAATTTCTTAGATTCCTCCAAATAGTTTAGAAAATAGGACAGTATACAGACAATTGAAGTACACAGGGGAAGGTAATAGTGCTAGGGAGGTAAAGCAGATCAACATTGAGGGAATGAAAAATAAGATACTGCTTGTCAAGTTGCATTCTATAAAACTATTGTCTGGAAAGTTAGTATTTTCCCCTTTGACTGATTAAGTTTTAGAAGCCCAGCTGATCACTAGAACTGTTTTTGCAGGATATGCAGACACTTAAATTTCTTACTGTTGAGAAGTTTGTGCTGTTGAAGTTGAAGCCTTCCTGTTTCACAATGTTAACCTTCCTATGACAATAATTTTTGAAGAATCTTATTGCCAGTTAAGGTATCTTATGACCTGATTGACATTTTCAGGTGGCTGTTTGTATATTTGCCATCTTAGTTGGTTTTCAAGTTGCTGTGTTTTTTTATTTAAGATACTCTATTTACCAGTAAAATCATTTCTTGGAATTTTGTGCTTCCATTTCACCACTGTTGTGATTACAAAGGGACAGTATTCTTAAAAAACCTCCCCAGGGAGGGCTTGGATGCTTTAATTTCATTTATACACAAATATTTAGTAGGGAAGAATAACTTCATGTAATGTGTATAGTCCAAGCCACTGGTATTTCAGTTATTTAGATGGTTACAGTGGTTGCTAGCCAGCATTTTCTTAACTGATGTGTGTAGAGTGAGCTCCAGCGTACGTAACTCATCTCTGTGCTGACACCACATCATCAAATAAAGTTTTGGCAAGTGTAATACTGGATGAAATTCATTAAATTGCCAGAGATTCCTCAGTGTTACTAACACTGCTTAAGGACTGTGACATCTAGAACTGAGGGAAGATCTGTTTGTGGTGGGATGTAAGTGCAGCTTTTCATTTGCCATAGTAATAAACTATTTAAGCCCAGTCTGATGACCCAGAACCTGCAGAAGGAGAAATAGAAGGATATTGGTGTGTGGAATGAAATAGCAATAAAGTGACTGGTGTGAAATCTCTCCTGACCCTCCAAGCATTTCTCAGTCAGTTTCCAGGGCCACTACAGTGTCCACAAAGAGAGCAACTCCTGTGATCAAAGCTCGTGCTCTTGAAAGGTAAAAAAGTTGCAACATGTTTGAGAGAACTTCTTTAAAAAGAAAATACAGTATAATGTGGCATTAATTATTAACATTCCCTAGAAACATGCTTGCATAGTCTTATCGAAATTGCCTCCTGAAGTTAAAAAGCTTGTAAAGAACATAAACTTGTTGCAGATTTTGTTCTTTTTAATTGCATCTCATGATAGGACAGATGGATTGATCTTCTGTCAGCAGCCCATCTTCATAGAAACATGTTTAACTCAATAGTCATAGTTACTGGACTGCTGTGCTGTCACCTCAGAGTTGAGTCAAGGCACTCAGCTATTCCAAGGTCTGCACCTTGGGGTTGAGTTGATGAGTCTTATCTCAGAAAGCTCTTGAGTCACCAAGCTTACAGTTTCTCCTTTGGGGTGATTAAATACTAAATAAATATGTTTAAATATTACAGTTTAAATATTAAGCTGTAAAGTGTTAGTGCATGTTGGCACTTAGAAATACTCATTTTCTTCTAGCATTGTGCATTTCCTTTCAGTGTGCTTTCTGTGAACGCGTTTGTTGACGCAGAACTCTTAAGGATAGAATATTGTCCTTCCTCCAAAACTGTAATAAAAAAACATTTACATTTTAAGATTAATACTACTTGTGTTTCCTGATATAGACAGCATTGTATTTTTGTCTCAGAAGATAGATGCTTTTGTCCCACTCACCTTAACAAATAAAGTTTAGTAGGAAGATTGACAGCTGCTTCAGACTGAGGTGAAGGAACAGAAGTTTGACAGGGATGAGTGTCTCCAAAATGGAAACTTCTGCGGGTTTTGTGAAAACCTGTTTTTCCTGTGTCTGAAGACTATACATATTAATGTCATGAAGGAGAAGTGTACAACAGGAACTCCCCTGTGAGATATCAGAGAATTCCCCTGGAGAAGAGAAACTTATGAAGGCTCTGGATGGATCTTCAGAACCAAAATGAACAAACCTTTGTTAGTTGCTTACACAACCGCTCGTTCTTGTTTGCAGTAGTGCTAACTAGCAGTAAGGAAGAGAGTTAGAGCTTCTAAAAAGCAGCCATGCTCAAGAGCACGAAGAATTGTTGCATCAGTTTCCTCTGTGTCAGTTTATGTGGTTTCAGACACTTTTTAAAAGGAAGACTCAGATTAGCCCCCAAGAGAGAGAGGAAGCAGCAAGGTAGGAGGAACTGCTTAATAACTTAATAAATAGCGCATTTTACTGAATTACACAGCCTGGGCTGAGTCTTTGAATGCCATGAGTGCACTTTCTATGTACCAGGTAGAAGTCCCAGGTGCTCACCTGTCTTCTGTTAGTGTGGGATTAGTCCATGAGAATGGAAGACTTTGACTTTTAAAGAAAGTGGGGTTATGAGGGTTGGTGAATGTCTGCATAGAAAACTAACAAGTTCTGTAAGGTGGCGATGGGCTGATGAGTGTGGTAGGGCAGTGAGTGGAGTAAAAGGGATTTGCCACCTTGAAAATGAAAGTAGAATAGAACAATTACTTTTTTGGAAGCCTGAAAATGGGGTTGATGTCATTCAATTTTAGATTCTTTCTAACCACCTTTTGTTTAAAATGTCAGACAGCTGGAAGTTCTTTTCATACGTACAATACCTAATATATTCTGATATTCTACCACTAAGAAATGACTTTTCATTGACAGTTTGTCATAAGTCACCAGTTAAAAGATAGGGGGAATATAGGTTTGTTTTTTGGGGTTTTTTTTTCTAAATTATACCAATTTATACAGTCTGTTTTGTCGATTTAGTGAAATAATTCTGCTATCTTCTATCTTAAATCATAGATCAAGAATTTATACTAGACTTTGACTTAATATTTCCATTTACATATTAAAATTAATATTACTCTGCCTGGAGGCAGAAATCAATATATTCCATTTAAAAAAACAAACCAAAACTTGTCTGATTTTATGCTGTGACCAGCTGAAGTAGCAAATACAGTCTGTTACATTTATAATGTTTGGTATATTTGCAAATAAGCTTTACGCTGCGACAGAAACAATTCTGAGATGAATTTTAGATGGAAAGATTCTGCACAAACAAGTAACATCTGAAGGCGTTAGTTTAGGAGTTGGCTGTTGTTTATGCTTAGGCTATTTCACAATTTTCTTGATGGAAATAGGATTTGGTGCCATATTGATGCATTCCAGTGCAGTACACAAAGCAGAGGCTTTACGTGCCTCTTTTGCACTGTACGGTCTGTTTGAAACACTGTGAAGATGGGATGGGAAACAGTGAGGCTGAACCCTTTCTGTTCAATCTGTGCCTTGTCATAGCTGGAAAAATGCACAGGCCTAAAGATACAGCATCGGATTTTATTCAGCTTGGTTTAGTTTTCTGTGTTTCCTGCAATTTATGAGGCTCCTGAAACAATTAGTGAAAAAGTTCCCCCCTTTTTTGTTACTGCAGTGAGCAGAGACGTGACTGACTGTTGCTGGGAGAGCACGAGTTAGATGAAGACTTACAGCGAGTGAGGGATGCCTGCAGGTGTCCCTTAGATAACTTTTACCTGTTTTCACTATTTTGTGGTTAGCAGAAGCTTTTGAGAGAGCCTTCAACGATCCTACTGGCTTCTGTACTAGGACACTTTTAGAAATTCTTGGGTTGTTCAGTCCAGCCATGCTGATTTTTATCAGACCATGCAAAAGCACATACATTTTCTTCCCCCTGATAATACTGTTTGTTTGTTGAGTTGTTTTTTTGCCCCCTCCCTGACTTGTCAGGTACTTCACAGTGCCTCCCAGAATAGTTGAACAAATAGGAAGAATTAGGAACAGAATTTCTAGAGAGCTCAAATCCTACTTTATTGAATGTGACTAAACTCCAAAATCATTTAAATGCTTCAAAATTATACTGGTTCTGTGGAGTTCATTAACCCACCATCTCCTCTCTGCTCTTGTATTGCTTGTGCTACTACTACAGTAACTAAAATAATCCATAAAGTAGGATATTGCAGGTCCTGTTTCCACTTGGGAATGTTGCTATTCCATACCCTTCTTGCTGTGACCTTCATCTGCTGTCAGTTTGAAGTGACTGTACAGGTATTCATTCAGGTCTTCCACTTGAAGTTGCACTTAAATACTAAATTATCAAGTCCTTGGGCTTGTCATGTATATACAATAAATTTATAAGACATAGCAGCAATGTTTTAGCAAAATGTACGATTATCTGGGCTCACATTAGTGCTGTTACACTGCTGAAAACTTTTTGCTTGTTTATTTGACTAAAATCTTAACTTTTAACTTTTTTTTTCTCTTTGCAGGAACGTCAGAATCGCAACAAACAATAAGAATAAACATATACAGTTTGATATATATACTAGAACTGATATTAAATTCGACTATGAGAAACAAAATTTAAGTATACTGGTGCTGTATCCTGGCATCAGGACAAACTACAGCTTTCAGCTCCAATATATCTTCTCGTGCAGGGGAAATTTAAGTTGTCGTATCTTTTTAAGTACATTGTAGTTTATTTTTGCCCAAGTGGATCTGCATTAATTTGTATCTTTTTTTTTTTCTGTGTAAAATTCTGTAGAAATCATTAATAAAAGTGTGTCTGTTTTTATTTTTTTAAGTTGGTAAACAGTTATATTAACCTAATGTGGACCTGTACACGCACATACTAAAGTGTCGATGCTTCCCAAAGACTTTATTTTGGCACAAATTATGTTCCTAGCCAGATATAGAGATTATGGAGAATACCTGACAAATCTTCCTTTATCTTCCTCCTAAACTCTTATTTTTTTTTTCCTTTTTTTTTTGTTCATGGCAGAAGTAAGAAACCATGCGTTGATTTTTGTCAATTAAAAAAAACCTTTTTAAGATACTGCACTTCAGAATTTTGAAATGAGAAAACTAAATTTCTGATCATTTTGTGCAGCTGCTAAGCCTCTTTATTTATCTGTACAATTACACTTAAAATTGCTAATGCACCATGTTGGGTTGGGTTTTTTTGGGTTGTTTTTTTCTTTTTTTTTTTTTCTCTCTAGTAGGAAATCAAATTGTCAGTGAAATTGTTTCTCTGGAAAAATCTTTCCCTTTCACATTCTGTTAACCAGTGCTTCAGTGTGCATTTGTTATTCCATATCCTGCTGAGAGTGAGCGAGGTGCTTTCTCTCAGCCATAATTCTGCTTTACGGTTTTTTGTAGCTTAAATAATAATGTGATGCTATCAACATTGCAGGGGTTTTTTTTTTTTTTTTGGACAATGTGTTTAAACCTGTTTCAGCTTTCAGGTGTTATTAGTTAATTGCAGATCACTTTTAATCCTTCCTTTTCATTACTCCCTTCCACCCCCCCACCCCCAAATCCTAATGCCATTTAAAGTTTTTTATACCAATAATGCTGAGCTTTAACGTAGGAACTAATAGTACGGATAATATGATGGATTATGCCTCAGATGTTTAAAATTGACAGTGTGTATGTCTAATTTTTATTTTATTTTTTTTTTCTGTTGGATGAGTAAAAAAACCTGTTTTAAGAAACTGAATTTGCTGTCATGTTTTTGTGGAGTGAGGGGACCGTCGGAGAACCTGTCACCAACTGGAGTTCCAATTAAGCATGGAAATGGTGCTCATGTCCGCTGCTCTAGCACACTGAAATCTGCACGTGTTTATTGTAGAGGATCTTTTACTATATTAGAAAGCAAGTATCTTCTGAATACTATTTACTCCAAAAGGACCTCCAATTTAAATAAAGTTTAATCTGTATCATTTAGACTTGTATTTAGAACGTATAACTCTTGTCTCTGGACTGTTACTGCCTGTAAGGGGTAATGGACAGCATCAGCTTAACTTTTTCCTCTAGGAGAATACAAGCCTTAATAAACAATACATATTTAGCAAGTTTGATGTCATTTTCATTTTTTTTTACCCCCTACTTTCAATTGTCTACCTATGTTATCATCACCCTTTATGCCAACTTGTAAATAAGTCTAATTTGAGAAGTGTTTTGATTGAATAAGTTAAGTGTTTGCTGTCAGCCCGTTGGATTGCAGAAGGGTTTTGCAGGACTGCAGAGGACACTTAAGCTGCTTTGAATGTTCCTGTTCCTCAAAGGAAATACATGTGTGTGCAGTGGCTGTCACTTGTGCTTTCCTTTGTCCTTCTATGGTAGAGAAGCTGAAGAAAGACTTGGAAGTTGTCCTGTAGCCTTCAGTAGGGAGTATCGCAGACGTGGGTCACCGGGATGAGGAAAGAACTTTCCAAATAAAAGTAAATCTCTGAACAGTTTCTTGGCTGTATTTCCCAACTCTAAATTTAGTAATTTGACTACATCTCTTTTTCAGACTGACTTTTTGAAGCCATACTGCATTTTATGAACATGTTATCTAATAAAAGCACCTGCTGTTAGTTTCAGTTGTTACATCAGGACACTTAAAACTGGTGATTCCAGAGCCAAAATGAATTCAGCTCCATCTGGATGGACCCTGAAGAGAAAAGTTAGTTACACAACTTATTTCTTACTACTTCCCCCACCCAGCAGGTCTAAAGAATCTTTGCTGTAATAAACCTGTAGGCTTCAGGTAAATAATTTCTGGAAAAAAAACCCCAAACCAACAAATTGAGAGCTTTTAGCTGAAACCAGTTTGGCTGTATTGTTAAGAAAAGTTACGATGTGTCTCAACATACTGTCTGGCTTTGTGAGTAGCAGAAAAAAATCATGACAGCTTCAGCAGGCAGAGATTTTTTTGCAGATGTTGCAGTGCTGTGGCTGGGTTGTACAGCAATATCTGAGTTAGAGTGGGGAGAACATTTAAAAGCAGGTAAAATAATCACTTTTGTTATGACCGTGTGCATTGTTAAGATAACTGAAATGCAGACTGCTGGTCGTTCTGATTTTCAATCAACTGTCATTTCAATTTAAAGAGATGCCTCACTTCTTTGTTTCATAGTGTTGAAATTAGACTGTGACAGGGGAACGACATTCTTCCAGTGTGGTGTAGAATAACCTCATGTTGTTGGTCTTAATTTAATCCAAGTAATAGTTCTAAAAGAACCTGTGTGCTTTTGAGATTAGTGCTTAAATTCACTCCTTATATGAGTTGCTTTTATTTGATGTTTTCAGAATTTGCGTGTGCGTGACAATATCCCTTCTGCTTTTAAGCTGAGTGTAGCTGGTAGTACCAGGTACTGATTACAGAGTTAAATGAAATTACTTCTCTGGTTCGATTCCTGGTCGATGATGGCAGCGCATCATACTGCTCTGAAGCTGTAAACGTTACATTATTAGGGGGGAAAAAAAACAGTATTAATTTGCTGGTAGTCACACCAAAAGTAATAGTACTGAATATTTAATCTTTATGGAGATGATATTTGCTGTGAAGGATGGTTTTAGGTGACTTGAGCTTCTAGAGAAAATAAGTTAAATTACACTGAGATGTAAGGACAGAAACAGGCAGATAAAAATAAACCAATTCACGTTCAAGGTAACTGCTCTGCCCTAACACAACATGCTCGTAAATTAAGGTCACTGTTCTTTACTCATTCTTGGGAGATGGAAATAGGGGATGTAAAATTTTAAATCCTAACTTTTTTTCTTTCCTTTCAACCTTTAAAGGATGGTTGATATTAAAAGATGTGAGTGTTTCTTCATTCTTCACAAAATACCTGATTTTTTGTTTTGAGAACTTTTTCAAAGATACTAATGGATTTACTCAAAGATATTTGTGAGCTCTCAGTGAAATAAAAATAGTAGTGTTTATTTTTTAGAGAGCAAGCTCTGGACAAGTTGTGAGAGAATGTGTCTTTGATTTTTCTCTTTAATAATGAGTGATTTTATTTGGCTGGGGAAGATGGATATTCCAGTAAACGCGAGCATTAAAAAACTTGTAGGCAAAGATACTACAAAAATATCAAAAGCAAAATAATTGTTGTAATGTTACTGCCCTTTTCTTGTATATCTTGACAAAAGTAAAGGGGAAGCTTAGTGGCAGTAGCAGATGAATGCAAAAATCAGGCACAAATAATGTCTAATGAGGGGAAAAGCGTGTTTTGATCTAATGCTCCTTTCTCTAGTCTCTCAGTTACTTTGAATTCTTTATGTTGAACAATCTGTTTTACTTGGAAAAAGCTCTGGGGTTTGGTTTTTTTTTTTCTGACAACAGTGCTCAGCATCTGCTCGTTTGAGGAGAAAGCTGTTCGCTATTTTGGGGCAAGTGCAGGTTTTTAATTGGAATTTGTGATCCTGCCCAAGAGTGGTGTGAGTGTAGCTGTGGCTTTTTCTGTGATAACCACCTCGGCTGTAGCCTGCCTTGTCCACAGGTCCTTTGAGAAAGAACAGCACTTGTTCAGCCTATTTTTAGAAGTAAGGAAGTTGAGTCAAAATGTTGAAATGACTTAACGAGGGTGTGACTTGGCAGAGGGAGATGTTGGATTTGACGAGTAAAGCGGTTGTTGGGTCCGATGGACTGTTTCATAGCTGACATCGTTCTCACAGTACTACTCCCAGTTCACGTATATTGGCACTGTGAGCTCACGTGAGGGTGAATGGGATTGTCTCGTGTCTGAATGTGACGGATTTCACAGCTTTCCCATCTTCAGAAAACTTCTGCTGAAAAGAATCCCTTAAAATTGGCTTGTATATTGCATATGCAGTGACACGTTGCCTATGCAATGTGGTGACAGTCTCTAATATTTCTCATTTCCTAGCAAGAATACAGGCAGGACAGGGCTTTAGGAATTACAAGAACAGCTTTTATTCCCCAGTACGATACCCAATTAACTTCCTTATTTTATGTAGGATCATAATTTCAGGGCACTTTGATAATCCCTTGGGAAATCCTACATTAAAAGAGTGCTGACTTGAGTTCTGTGTCATCTTTTTGCATTCTGTAAAGTCCCTGATCTCCTTTTTGTTCACGTTCCTGAGGTGAGTTACTGACAGCACGAGGAAGACCTTGGAGACATACTTTCTTCAACAAGCAGAACTTTATAGAACTGCCATCTACATTGTCTTTTACTGAATCTCCTTTAATTTGGAGAGCGTAGGAGGTTTTATGCCATCTGTCTGTTTATAAGTTATTCAAGAAATTATTTTTACCTGGGTTGTTACCATGACAACAGACAGTTGGTAAAGTCTTCACCAAATGCGTTTCTCATGTTGTCCAACTGCTGCTAAATCAATAGGATCTGGTGTTTTGCTGTGGTTTCAATAACGAAGGAAGCGTCAGAGAGGTGTCAATACTCGTTTGGCCAAATCTGCATTCTCCAGGTATTTTTAGATTATTAATGCTGTGCATTGGGCAGCGATACCTATCGCAAGCAACCGTCTTGATTTCCCCATCACCACTGTTCTGTGGGGTGAGAAGAGGAAGAAAGTAAATTAGTAGATGATATATTAATCTTAATTGTATATTATTAGGGAGCTTTTTTAATAGTTTACATCTTGTGTGTAATCCTTTTAATAAAGTAGTGTACTAAAGTAAAGCTACACTGCTGTGTTCCCCTTCACAGCATTATTATAAACCACAGCACAGCTTTGATTTCTGTGCTCTGCTCTTGTGGATCTACAAATTGTATCTCCAGCAAGTTGATTATTGATAACATCTATTGATAAAATTAAGGGAGCTCTGCATCTCCCTAAAAATTAGTGGTCTACAAACCCTCTAGAAACCACTGATGGAGGAAATATTCTTGGTGCTGTTGACTCTCCTGTAGTGACGTGTTTTAGCTGGAAACTGATGGGAGAGAACCTGAACATGCTGATTCTTGCAACTGCTTGCACTTTGCTGAAACTATTTCACCTGCTTCTCATTGCAGGGGGTGGGTGTCATTAGGCTAATGAAGAAGCAAAGGTGATCAATGTCTACACCTGGCTAGAGATTCACTTTCCAATTAAAGACACTGCACATCCCATGTAGTGGGCC